CCTGCTGAAGTAGATTTACACAGGTACTTTGCAAATGCCTATGGCATTCCATTAAGAAATGTAGCTTTTCCTGTGACATCATCTGAGAAACACTGGAGAACTGATGCAAAAGATACTGTGGTTCTTCTGAGCAGTGGCCCTGTGAGTAGCCTTGACACGAGTAAGGTAAGCACTAATGACTTAACCTGCTTATAATTTTAATTTTTCTTGTTCAATATACTTTGTCTGAACTTTTGCAACAAGAATGACACCTTCAGCATAAAACTCATTATAATTACTATGCTGTATGCAATAAATACGCTCTTCTTGTACGCAGACACTTAGTGATAGAAATGAGTTGAGGGAGGAATAAATCTTAGAAAAAAAAAAATTCCTGGATTTTCCAACAATTATTTTCAAACATTTTTCTAAGAAACTAAGGAAATGCTAAATCACTTCACTTCTACATTAAGTACCAACTCCAGCTGTTATTTCTATACATTGATAGCAAAATGTAGCTACTGTACTTCAATACAGACGGTCTTGACTCAGTGTTGAAGTGAGTCCTTGGAGAATGCAAGCTTTGATTCTCACATGTGCAGTCACTTTACAGTCATTTTTGCAGAAATATGCAAATAATTGCTTTTGCAGAAACAAAACAAAGCAAGAAATCTATATTACTGCAAAGAGTTTATAAGGTCAAACAAAAAAAGAACTTGAATGCAGCATTCTGAACTCCTACAAGCAGACAAATATATTTATACATACATGTCTGTGTGGATCTTCAAGAAAAATACACAAAACCATACATGTACATGCATTCTGAAAATCAACAGATGCCAGACAGTCCTTAGGTTGTATGAGCTGTAAAATCTGTCTCAAAATAAACATCTGGAACATTTAAGCCTTAAATCCAAAGTCGATCTTCTAGTGCTAGATTCCTTGGGGATTATAATGAAGGACTGACTGCACAAACATACGCCCTTGTCTGCTAATGAATTTATTTTCTAAGCTAAATTCAGGCAACATGGCATCTCGTCTAAGCCATGATGTTAACGTTTACAGTTGCTAGAATGCTATACTTAGACCAGCATCACAAGTTCACTCTTAACGTAGAACTTTATGATTACATATGGAAGCTGATTTTTGGATATCAGTCATTTTATCACTCTTGCGGTGTTTAAGAGACTCCCTAAATTCAGAGACAGACTCAATCTTTTAGGTTTTCATGGTTTGTTTGCTTGTTTTTTACCTTCTACCTGTGCAAGAAAATTTTAAAATCTAAAGTAACAGAAGCATTAAGAAGAAACAATGATAACAGTGTTCTTGCTAGAGAAAAAAAATAGTTTTAAAAAATGCCATTTTCCTTGCAATAGCTTAAAACTCACTTATATACAGTATTTCTTATAAAAAACACAAAACACCACACACACACCCCTCACCCAAATGTGTGCTTTACAACCATTTGCTCTGTCTGAATCACGGTTCTGTCTCTAAAACATGCATGTACCCTGCAGTGACTGTGTAGGTTCTTTACCTCCTTAATTTTCACTTGGCAAGTAGCCCAAGCCTCTGCTTTAAATTTCCCACTTGGTAGCACTAGTATGGCACCTGAAGAGTAATTAGTTGTAAGAAAGGGAATTTGAATTGGTTGCTGAGAAGGAAAAAAATGTGCATGCCTAATAAAGATTTTTCCTTGAGTACTTGCAACCCCATTTATTTATTTTTGCTTAGAATGCACCACCCTTTAAATAGACCAGTGACCATTTTTTTTTCCTAAAACCTTCCAGAAGAACTAAGTGAAGGAAAACTGGCTTGGTTTTAAGACCATGCTATTTCACTTTTATTCAGTCTTTTACATTACAGTAGCACTTATCTTGACACAAATTTTGCCCCCCCCCCCTTTTTTTTTCTTTTTTTTTTTTTTTTTAAGTTTCTTTAAAATGGCCTTTTTTACTTTATTTCTCACATTGCTCTCCTATGGACACCTAAGGTGTAGTCATCTGGGACAGCAAATCATGAAGATGTCTGAGCAGGCAGAATATTTTACCTAAATTACACATATAACTCTCTGTGAAGTTTATACTGTCCATGAAACTTTACATTATGATACTGTTTGTGAGATAGGCATATCTCCATTGGTTCCAATGACCTTGGAAACTCTTTTTGAACAATTCATTACATATATATAGTTATGCAAAATGAGTAACAGAAACGAGGTTTTCCCTCCTCTAGAAATTAGCAGTTCCCCAGCCCTAAGAAAGAGAAAAGTGCTGCTTCTGAAACTGCTTCTGCCTTCTGTGCAAAGACAGAAACACAGAGAAGTTTGAGGGGGAGGGGATTTGATTTCTTTTTTAATGTCTGCCTCCTTCCAGCAAGTCCATCTGTTGTAACACTATAATTCTGGAAGCAGGATGTGTGTGTGACCAACAGGAGACAATTACTGCAAAAGTGTTTGTTGATTCAGCTCTATAAAGGGCAGACCAATCACTACAGTATGAATAGAAAAGAATTCCAGCTGAGGAGCTGCATATAGATTAACACAAAATACATATATATAAACGAGAATGGGGAAAATCAGAAAGAAGTAATAGTATGGGAAAGGATTAAGCAGGAATTTAAGAATGAAGTAGGCAGAAAAATTAGCATTTTTGGGGCTGTTAACCAAATAGTTTACTAGTTCTTATTTTCATAAATCTTGTTCTCTAGCTTTCCACCTTGACAGAGAGAGATGAAATTAAATAGATATGGAACTGGTCTTATCCCCATTCGAAAAAAACTCCAGTTGCCTTGAGCACTCCACTTTTGGGGCGTATGGAGACAGTTGGTTTCTCCATAACTGACTGTTCTCCACAAAGGAACGGGTGCTAGTTCACGTGGACTGACCAGATTCTTGTGAAAGTCCCTACAGGCTAAAAGTGAAACTTCCCTTACCCATTTGAACACAGGTAAAATGGCAGCTCAAAGACTTCTTTTTCAGAAAGAGTAATGAATTGGGTTGATACAACAGTAAATCGGGCCTCAGTATCATTTGTACATCATAACTGATTCAGATTCTCCTATAAAGCATGATAATGTATAACATTTCATAAGTTTGATTATAACAAACTAAAGAGACAAATATCAATGTTATGAAAATGTCACAGAATTACAACACAATTAAGCTGAATATTGTAAGACACCATAATGAAAAGTACTTTACCTCTATAGTCAGTTTACTAGTTTGAAGTCTCTGATCAGCCAAATGTAGCCGAGTTGTTAGTTTTTCATTGGTTTCTTTAAATCCCTTCACAGAAGACACTGCTGTCTTTTTTTCACTCTGTAAAACAGCTATCTGCTGCTGCAATGACTTAATTCTTTCCTGCAGTAGAGTAACAGAGTATCCCGGTTTCTGGACAATGATATTTCTCCTTTTTGTTCTGTTCACTAAACATAAAATGGCATGTTACTAAACTGACAGATCATCACAAGTAAGATGATTTTTGATTTTTCTGTGGCCCTTCAAAACATTGTTCTAGCCTCTAAAATATTTCTTAGTAAGCAAACTACTAAATTAATTCAGTTAACCTATACGTGCTCTATGTTGCTCTTTTTCTGAAGTGCCAACATTGCAAACTCAACACAGACTTGGAAGTTAAATGCGGCTCAAGTTTCTGATCAGTATTACTGGAAATAAAGGCTTTGGTGTCTTGTTAACCACTTTTTTTTAAGGTCTAAGCCAAAATATTTTTGTTTCATTGGCTGTGTTGGCTACAAGGGGCAAACAAGAACAAAAGGTAGTGAAAAGCTTTATTTTAGTCAGTAGATTGAATAAAAGGGACTTAGTAAAAATGGAGTATATTTTAACTGTGCAAAAAGATGCTGTTTGACAGACAGTCAGTTTATATATGACAATTTCACTTTAAAATAAAGAGCTAAATCTTTGAAAACATACTCGTGCAAATTTAAACAAGCAAATTCTGCAACAGCATATAAGTGGGTTTATGAAATATAGAAGAGGTTTTGGAATATCAGACAGGAATGCTTTGTCAATCTTACTTATGAAGTTGCCAAAAAGATATAATATTCCTACCTTTGCTTAGAATTGATGGATAAGATGTTATGAGACAGCAGATCTTCTTCCTCTTGGAAGGTAACTTTTCTAGGTCTTTACTGTGTGAAGGGCCCTAAATAAAACCACAGAAGCACAAAGCTAGCAATCCTTCATTATGGCACACCAACCACAATACTCCAAAGTTTTCCAGTTTGGATTGAAACAACAAAAATTACTTCAAATAATACAAAAAATTCTAATTAATTTTAATTTGAAAATTAGTCTTACCACATCAGCCAGTGAAAAGTACAAATTTCTGCCTTTCCCATCAAATATAGAATGAATAATAAACTATTATAGGTAAATCATAACCCTTTCCAAAGAATCCTAGAGAAAAATGAAGTGTCTGCTAATGCCTATTTTTTTGTTTAGATAAGATACGAATTTACTTGTAGGAAAAAAAGATGGTGTGTATTACTTGAAAGCTGCCAATATCTTATTTTTCAAGATATTTGAGTGAAAATATAAAGGAATAGCAGTCAGTTCAAAAGGAGGAAGATCAGATTAGGCACTGAGTTGTAACTGGAAGATCTATGAATATATATATGAACATGCAAATAAAATCCCTATGTTCGTACAGGGTTTAACAAAAGTCAGCTGCATGCCTTTTAAATATCTGATTTGAAAAATCAGCTATTTCCAGAACCTGTAAAATGTTCAATGACAGAAGCAGAGGCTGAAGAAGAATGCTGCTTGCCATATGTATAATGAAAATGTTCACAGCATGGCTTACGCCAAAATCAAAGTACTATTTCCCTGGCCCTTAAATGCTTGGTGTATTTTGAAATACTTTTGTTCTGTAATTCTGCAACATTTCTTCAATTTTTGAAGTTTTCAGTTTGCAATTTCTATGCGATACCATGCAACATATTTCTGAAAATATTCATAAATAAAATAGCTATTCATCACATTTAAAAGAGTAAACAACAACAGACTATTATTGAAGGACAAGAAATAGGATATGCTAGGAAAAGAGAAAAGAAATGTAAGTGCCGACTTTTCAAACTAAAACCAAAGCAAAGGAAAACAAGCTCTTGTAGGTCTGTCTCCTTCGAGTAGTCTCTTAATTATTTTATTCCATGTCTCAAAGACAACAATGCACAGTACTAAGCCCCTATCAGTACGACAAGAGGATCCTACAAACACTGAAGACGCAATTGGATGACCAATGCTAGTCAGAAATGGTGACTATGTGTTACAGAGAATTGAGCAGATGATGATCCATGCCTGCAGTAAAAAAAGATGGAGATCTCCACTCTAGGCCACAGCTCTGATAAATGCATGAGTTGTAAGAGAGTGCCAATAACTCTCCTGATGCTGCACAGGGTATTATATATTTATACCACATTGGGCAAAACCAAGAAACTCCTTGTGTCATAAATGATCTCATCTCCAACCCCAGGCATAGCTCAGGACTTAGGAGATTTCTCTAGCCTCTCTTTGTATGAGAATAACACGACCCAGCTGGAGTGTCCTGAAATCCTCAGGAGGGATTTAAGATTTCTGTGAAGATTGGTGTTCCCAATTGTCAATACTAAATGTTTTTGCAATGCTATTTTCTGTACTCACAAAACATGTTTTCAGGTGCTTTTCCTGCAACAGGGGACTTCTGCTGAAGCATAGTTGCCTGCATAGGGCTCTTGTGTATGCTCCAAGTCCACCAGTCTGTCACATACGTGTATCAGAATATGTCTTGTGTTTGTCTTTTCCAGCAGCAACAGAAAGTAAACGAAATATAGGCAAACAAGAGAGGTACTGTCTGTGTCTACACTACCAAGAAGAGAGACCAGAGCCTCCTAGATTCCCTGCCTCGTATATACTTGCTTAGGAGCAGCAGGAGTAGCACACTGTCCGATTTTCACATATATCATATGCACCTCCTCATATTGTGTATTCTATACCAACAGATGGTTGCAGAAGAATTCTGCAGCTTTTCTGCCAGAAAAGTAGATCTTTTGATGGAAACACACAATCAAGAATAACAAAACCAGAGTTTGTATTTGCTTTAAAATTTTGGAGACTAAGAAAATATAACCTGTTTTCAAACTCTTTATTATATCACCATACATATCAGAATTCCAAACTAGTTTTCTAAGAGCAGCAAGTTTTTCAGTGTTTCAGTATTCTGTTTCTTGGACTAAGAAACAACAATATCTGCTTGTGTTTTAAATTCCACGAAGTGAAGTGAATTATTTGGGCAAACACAGGAGGGAAAAAGTATTAGACACTGTTCAAAAGTCAAAAAATGAGTCATCTGTTACAGATTGTATGGAGCCTCTAAAGACCTGGGAAACGACCAGCTGGCCCTCTTCTGTGAGAAAACAGCATATAGATGTTAGGAATGAGGCAAAGCGTTCGAATCCCAGACAATGAATGTAAATGGGCTAAGAAGAAGCTAAAAGCCCACTTTTCTCTAGACAGAATCTCCTGGACAGAGATGGAGCCAAAAGCTTCTTTCTAAGATGGAGACAACTCTTTCTGCGCACACCAAACGAACCGAGAGGTGTTGATGCTTGATTAGTCAGCACACCATTTTGCTAGGTGTGGGGTGGGGGGATGGGGATGTTGCTGTTTCCTTGTTACGGGTCAGGTCACCCTCTTCTGTATGACTTTTCTGATTTGAGAGAGATAGGATGTCTGCGGCACTCTTAGTCTGAACTGCAAGACAGCAGGACTAGCTTATAGCAGCTTTACAATTCTTTAATCAGCTTTTGCGCTCCTGACACTCCCTCCAAATACACTTGCAGACTAATTGTTCAGAAAATATTCTAAATGATAATGAAACTAGCCATTGAATATCTGGAAGCAGATTTTCTTTTCAGCTTATAGGAAGAGTCAAATTAATTAAGAGCGGAAGAGCAGTGATAATACCATTAAACTTTAACACTTTGCACAGGAGAACAAAACAAGTTCTGTTATATATACCTTTTTATTACACTGCTGGTTTTTGCCTTCTAAATGAACAACGTTGCAGGGCTTTTGACTATCTTGTATTTGCTTTTTTCCGTGTTGTTTACTTCTGTCTGGCAGTGGATCGGTGTTTTGCACTGTTTTCATAATTACTGCTTCCAAACTTTCAGAAGTTGGTATTTCAGAGTCACTACAACAGTACATTCAGGACAACAAAAACAAAAAGCTAAACATTAAAAGTTCCAAACAGCCAATGCTTGAGCATATAGAATATAGCACATGCAATAAAGGAGAGAAACAAATATAAAATCCAAACAGTACTAAGCTGACTTATTCAATAGATGTTTACAAATACGATAAAGAAGAAATCTCTGAAATTGTCTTATCAACTTCTACCCTGTCAAATGGAATCTCATTCTACAATGCTCGGAGGTCTGAGACTTTAACAGCTTCTTAAAGGACAGCTTTTGTTACAGTCTACAAAAGTGACACATGAAAAACTACTTGATAGTACTTCTAGTCTATGAGTGGCTCAAAAAGATACACTGTTTCTAATTTCCTTCATTTTCACATTTGATAACAAAACAAACAAATGCACAATACTGCATAGCATTTTGTTTCAATTGAACTTTATTTGTAGTATTGACTGAGACAAACTCAGAAATAACACTTTAGTGAAATCTCTGCCTAGCAGCCCTTTGGAGTGCTTTTAAATTTTGCAAGCTTGGTAGTCCTTCTACTGAAATAGCCTGTCATGCAGAGAAACTGGACCTGAAACTTTCCTTCTACTTCAAAATTTTCCTTAAACTTGCACTCAATGTGCTCTTAATTTCCAGTTTTTCGCTGCCTTGCCCCAGATTACAATTTGTTTTCTGATATTCAGTGAAGCTTATCTTAAAACTTGAAGTCTTGGATATATCATTTTCTATACCATCAGCAGCTATTCATTATCATTTGTGCAAAGAGATTTGTGAAGGAATCCCTTGACAGAAGGTAATTTTGATTTGTTACTTTCTAAGCCAAGACATTTAAAAGGGGACAACTGAGTTCAAATTAAGTTGCACCATCATAAGAATCAATGGTTTAGAGATGGTGGCTACTTAACCAGAGAAAACGCTTCAAATTGAAGAGAAGGGTTCATACAGAAACATGTTTGTACTTTCCAAAACCTGTCCTGACACATTGGCATGTCTTATTGACTGATAAGAACAGAAATCAATGTAATAGTTTGAAGGTGCCACAGTAGCACAGTATTTCTAACTATGTACACATTTCCCTCACCTGAATCATTTAAAGAAACATTCTATTTAGAAAATGGAAGGCTTGAATCTAGAAACTCAGAGACAGCTACTAGTGAAAAAGAACAGTAGTTATTGATAAGTAGAAGAGGGAACTAAAAGAAGATATTTCCCTAACTTGTTGAGAATGACACCTTGAAACACCACATTCAAAAATGTTCACTATTCTACATGAATTCCCTAACCCAATACTTGCACAATTATCAAAAGTAGTATTTATGGCTAGCCATGACAACTGAAGCCGTACAATTACTTTCCACTTCACTTCAAACTCAAATTGCAATGAGAATTTGTTCGCTCAATGTTGTTCTTAAAAAGTAAAACATAGTAAATTAAATAAAAAGCTCACTAACTGCAACAGAAAAACATGTATGTTTTCTGTAAAATCAGATATGTAATATCAAATTAAACAGAAAACCAAACAAGCTTTACATTAATGATAGCAAGTGACAAATCACATGATTCCTAATTTGTTTTCTCTCTCAAGACACTGTGGTTCAGGAGTCCCCCATTTTGCATGAGAAGAAGCCGCAGAAGGGCTTCATTTGCCACTGTTGATTTGCTCCACGTGGCATTTAAAGCCAACATGAAGCCTACAAAGACAATTCCATTTTCTTTACTCTTTTGTCACCTTCTCTATATTTTGGGTAAATACCGTCTTGAGACATTTCTTTGCCTCATTTTTAGGACAAAGTATTGAAAGACAAGGTGTGATACCCATTTACCTGGTGTCTTCCTGCTGCCTCCTCAAGTATATGTGGACAAATAGAAGCAGAAGCAAAAATTCTAAACATTTATGAATCTTGCCAGTGCAATTTTCTGAGGACCTTGTAACTCATGACTGCGACTTTATGCAGTAACAATTACCTTTAAAGAACTGATTTTTAACCATCATTCAATTAAAGTTAGCACAATGACTGTGCATAAAACATACATGAAATAATTAGTGTGGATGGTTCTTAATTTAAAGGATGTTAAACAGCTTGTAGACATCTGCTAGCAAGCTGAAATGGGTCATTCAAAATTTATCTAACCAAATTAAGGGGAAAAAATGTTTCTCCTCCCGGGTCGGCATGTCACAAGATAACTAAACCGACTTAGTAGGCTTGCCTGGGAATCCTTAGCTGTCAGTGGTGAATATGCAAAGGGCCAGCAAATTAAATCAACCTGCCAAACTGTCAATTTCAAGCCTCATGACTGCATGAAAATAGCATCACTGGAAGAAATCAAGCATTGCCTTCTTTTGGGTTTCCTGGCACCTATTCAAATACTCATGCAGTTGTGGCTAATTTTGCATGCAAATTTCAGTCAATAAGCTCAGAACAAGACCTCCCAAGATATTTCAAAGGATCTGACAGTATTTTTTTTGAATACCAAATCAACAGTAGTTGAAATTCAATCTCCATTTGCTAGTGCTTTACATATGCACAGTGTCCCCTCTACAGGGCTAAGTTAATGAGAGCCGTACCTGCTTTCACTCACATCCTCCCAGCCGTCCTTACTGAAGTTCTCAAATACATTACTCATAACCTTGATGGACTGTTTGAGAAAAGCTCCATGATGTCCCAAAGAGCTCTTTTTCTTGGCTGTTTTTAATTTAACCTTGGTGCCTGTTATCTTGCAATTACATTGCCCAGAGGTCGCCACTGCTTTGGCTTCTTCCAGCAAACACTTCAGCTCCTGCACTTGACTCAGCAAATCTTCATTTTCATTTCTCAACCTGTTAGCTTCTGCCACTTGCTTCTTCAAAGAGGCAGCTTCATTTTCCTGCTCATCAATCACTAACTGGAGTTCTGCTTTGTCATTTTTTATTTCACAAATCCTCTTAAGTAGCGTCTCCAGCTCTCTTTCTCTTGTGTCTGCATCTTCCTTTTGCACTTTCAAAGATGCTTTCAAATAATTTTTCTCCTTTAATAAGTCTTTATTTACTTCTTTCTGTTTCTTTAATTCCCCTTCAATAGCTTTGAATCTTCTTTCTAGTTGTTGTACCTAACAAAAGCAATTGTAGCATTTATAATATTTCAGCCTACCCAGTAGGAAAAAACCCTATGTTTTCAAACGTATTTATAATATGACAATAATATTACATTAAGCACAAGGACAAAAGCAATCTATAGTCCTTAATTTAAAAATAATTCTAATGTAGTGCAGATGAAAACATTTTAGCTGCAATAATACAGCTGTTGAACAAAGGGCAGATGGTAAAAGAAGTTAAAATTCCAGGCAAAGTGACACAGAAGTTTAAGTATGCTAATGAACCTTCCTGATGCATCTTGAGCTCATTACTGATTTGGTTATACATACTAATTGAATTTAAAAAAACATTTTCAGAAGAAAAACTATTTTGAAATACAGACAATTTTGCACTAGCTATCTAAATCAACAAGTTATTTCAAGTGTTGTAAGTACAGAAATTAAATATTAATTTGATCTTCAAAAAACCCCAAACAAATCATAGCCAGTGATATCAGAAGCTCAACACCTAAACAGTATGAAGGCTGAAATGCATTTTTTATTCACAGAAAGAGAAAATATATTCTATTCCAATGAAGCCACTTTACCAGCTTCTTGTATATAGCTTGAAGAAGCATATTCTACCTATATAGGATGCATATATTTGGTTTGTAAAGTCCTTTGAGGTTTACACATATTCAAGACCACTAGCAATAAACTGAATCTCAATGTTCTTCTGGAATATTTGCCTAAAGTTCCAACCAATCCCCACAATTTCCAGAGATAAGGGGCAATTTTAATTTTAGCACATACTAAACTGAACATCTATTCTGTGATATTTCCCCAGAAGTTTGCAAAGGGCATAAGAGTGAGTTTTGTGCTCAGTACCCACTTAGTCATTTCACAGAAATATTTTTGCTTGGTTTTGTACAAGTTCCATCCCCACTCTCTCACAAGTGGAAGTGCCAGGTGCTCTGTATTTTTCTGGACATGGGTAGAAAAGACTATTTCTACCCATGAAGAAGCTACAGTAGAATGTACATGGCCAGCTTCAGCTACTCACCTTGTAAAATACAGCCAAATTCCATCACTTTGTAGCAATACAAAACGTCAAAACTTGCTCTGACATTGAAAATATTGAACCCATAGTATTATCTCAATAAATGCTCAATAAATGCAAAACATGTTTTTGCAAGGACATTTTGCCAATGCATTTAAATTATTTTAAAACTTATGGAATGATTTACAAAGTGGGTACTACAGATTTGATTCAGAAAAATGAGAGGTCCTAATGTACAAAGTAAACCAGGGCAAGAGCTGCTCAAACTTCATATGCATTCGTGAATTTGATATTGAATTTGTGAGTATGATAGTAAACTTTTAATATGCATGTCTACCCATTACGACACTCCTTTATGGAAATTCATAGCACTCCCACAATGAAGAGAGATTGCCTTAGAGCTACATAAACACACCGCATAAAGTTATTGGGTGAAATTAGGAATAAAAGGGATTTTTCCAAATGCTTAAAGGAGAACAAGGTTTATGATTAAAATCATAGGTTGCACTTTCCTGCCCAATGGCAAGGAGTTAGACCAGTACTTTTCTTCAACCACCTTCCTAAAACATGGTTCTACTATTATTTTCTCACTTCTTTAAAGCAACCTTTTGCGCTCAGTAGCACTTAAAGTCATGTATGACAGCTGGAAGGAAACAAACAATGAATAGCTTCTACACCTATCCCTAAGGTACCATCATAACTCTGTATATCCATAGAGATAAAAATTATGTAGTACCTGGCAAACAAAATTATAGTTCTGAAATATAGATGATAAGCAAGCATAAACTCTGTGACATTTCAGATGGTAACATTCATATTATTTCAATTATTCACTCTACCTTAAGATAAATCAATGTGAGCACTTCCTATTCTGTGTGTTATTATTTTAACATGATGTTTGTCATTCAGTAATAACGAGATGACAGCCTTCATTGCCTGACCATATGGCAAGTGTTACAAGTATATGCAATCACATCATCTGCTGTAAATTACCATACTTCCTACAAGTTAATTCACAAATAAAAAATAAATAGACATACCCGAACTGACATTCAAAGTTATAGATTTGTGTTTATTCAATTTAAGCATGCTTTTAAAGATTTATAAGTAATTAAACAAATATTGTTTTGCAAAATGACAAACAAAAAGCATGATACTGTTTGAAGAATGTCTTTTCTTTGCAGCAAACAAAACATATGGTAAAATACAAGTGAGCCCTCTTAAGTGAACACCTGTTAACATACTAAACTACTTGTGTATATTACAAATATCAATACAAATAGCAACTAGTTAAGAACATCTTGTTACTATATGAGGTAAGACATGTAGAATGTTGAGCAGTAAAGATTAAACACTCATCATATTTGCTAAGTCAAATAATACTAAATGCACATGGTACTATCTTGTGAAGAGTGATAAACCCATATATGTAAAAAATATTTGCATATGCAATATTGTGCTAAAATTTAAATATAACAAAAGGTGGATTTATCACTATTACGCATCAACTTTATTCTGTAGCAAGAGGTCTGTGGAGATTAACACCTTATATCATGTAAAGTTAAACACTCAGCCAAAGAAATGAAGTTTTCTGAACTTAGAAGCGGTAAAATTCTAAGCGTATGTTACTTCCAATTTAGACAATTTGTTAGTTTTTAACATTATACCTCTAAACATTCTTTTCATTTTCTGACATTAACCATGTTTATCTCACATGATACATTAACAGCTAGTTCACTGGAATTCATTTCTGACACAATTTTGGAAATTGATATTTTTGAATTAGGAGAGGAAAATCATGGCCTAAATTCATGAGAACTGGGTTTTACATATATGTATGATTCTTATATTAAAATTTAGATCTGTTTGCTGAGGTTGGTATCATACCTTCTGTAATGTCTGATGTGAAACTTCTTTCATATTCCTCTTTGGAGTACTGTTCTTGACACCATCATCTTCACTAAGTTTAAAAAGTGGCTCTATCAGAAAATAAATAATGCGTCTATGTCAAAGAACAAATAAAATACATTGTGACACCTAATACTTCACTAAAACAATACCCAGACATTTTAAGGAAATGCATTCTTTACTTCTGCAATTATTTATAATGTAGTCTATTTTCTTGACAAGCCTTTTGGTCAGTTTCTAAAGACTGACCTCTTTTCAAAGTGTTCTGTCACATAATTATGAATCTTCGTAGCATCACAGTATGTTTTTTTCAGAGTACAAGCTTTTCAAAGGTACAATAGATCCGCAGGTTAAAGACGTTGTACTTTCATTCTGATTTTTATTCTTTTATAGACTATTCCCTCTATGCCTTAAAAGCAGAAATCATTGCCTTTTTATCTACACAGTCACTACCAGTTTTGTTCTCTAGGTCTTGTCCCCTGCTAGGAGGATCAGAGTGATTGGTGAACAAAGCAAACAGTAACAGAATTAGGATGGATGAAAACTTTAAACTCCTTTTTGTATTAAGTGAAAGATCATGTACTTCACCAGATAAATCACACAAATCATTCCATTGTAATACTGTGAATTCATAACAATGAGAAATTAATACAACAAATGAGAGTGAATATGACTCTGAGCATCACTTTTAGAGACAGATATGCACTTTAGGTACTAAAAGTCCTACAAAAATAGACAAGTTAAAAATTAAATCTATTCATAGAGAAGAATGCTAAGAAAAAGTTTAGAAGTACTAACATGTATGGTAAATGTAAGATGTAAAATACATTGTGTTTAGATTTGAACAAAGAGCTTAGCATTCACAAATTGTCCACTTCTCACAGAAATGAGCGATTACACACCTCAGAATGACTTTTTCTTAGAATATGAAATATTATGTCAAAGAACAAAAAATCCCAATACAGTAAAACCACCACATTATTCACATTTCTTTTCTTGCCTTATTCCCCCTAAATTAACTTAAAGAATTAATTTTAAGGGATAAATATCTGTGCTACATCGTAGAGGTATGCTTTAGAAGTATCATTTCAAACTACGAGCAGACACTGCAGGTCACTTAAAAACTTTTGATTTATAAACAAAGCAAATGTAGAAGAAAACAGTGTTACTCTCTGTAGATTCACAATCCTCTTGATATAAACAGTGACTAACAAGTTTGTTAGAGTGAATTAGACCTTTCTTTTGTCTTTGGAACATGTCATGGCCAATTAATACTTCTGTATTCATGAAATAAATGGAACACTATTCTAAAGATAATAAAAGCTGAAAAAGGTAAAACTATGCATCTGGGGAATATGTACCTTTACCTTGATATTAATATGTTAGTTCCCATGTTATTTCAGACTACAGTCCCCCAGCACAGTGGTACTGCATACATTTACAACATTCTTTAAGTAACACACAAAGATAATATGAACATGCTTTTCATCTTTTTCTAAATATTCACTCATTTGAATGTCTGCTGTAGCTTTTATATCAGCATTTACTGTACTCCACTGAAAAGAAAAATGATTTCCCATAGTCAAAGAAACTGATCAAAGCACACAAGGTGTTATGTTTATTATGTGGATGTATTAAAATACAATTTAAAACTCTATCTATAAATAAACATATTATGTGCAGAGAATAAAGAATACCACTACAAAATAGATAGAAAAGACTATACACGTTCAGTATTATCACAGAAGTCACAAGCAACCTAATTTAAAGAAAAGCCAAAGGTCACTGATGCATAACCCTTTCTATCAAGCAGAAAATAAATGGCCTATTCAGCCCCCTTCTCCCCTCCTCCAGTCTAATTGTTATGTAATTGTTCAAAGGAATTGGTTAGGGAGGCAATGAAAGAGCATTGCCTCTAACTGTCTGTCTGTCTAGGAAAGCAAAAAGATTCATATCAGTCTACTCAGCAAGACATATGCTCTACCCATCATACTCCTACAAAAAAAACAACTCAAGTTCTCTCTCAACAAATAGACCCACAAGTCATAAACCCCACCATCCTCAGTCATCAAATTACCAGGGTCTTACAGAATTGTATTTATGTCTGACTGAGAAAAACATGGGTAACTGCCAGCTTTAGAATGTAATACTTAATTCCTAAATAATAGTCATCAAATCTGACGATGAGTTAGTTCAAAACTGCTGCCAAAATGGTACTCGAACTATGACACTACAGGTCACTATTAGTATTTGCAGACAGCCTTCTTACACAGAGGAAAAACTATCAGTTTCAAAAAAAACAGAGCTGTATGTTAGTCACTCATAGAGTACCTACATGAACTAGCAAAAGAATGAGATTTTTGCCTGCAGTATGCACCAGGTGAAGGATTCCCCTGACAGACAAGAGGTGCCATGTTGCAGAAAGCCCCCGTGTTACTGACTCCAGCGGTAGCCACTCATGCTCCTAAAGATGTGCTAATTCTGAAACAGCCCATGGGAAAAAGCACTGTGATGACCAGAAGAAGGGAATGCTATTCTCACACATTAGCTGGGAACATGGTAGATTCAGAAGTTGTCTCACAATGAAAGATGCCTTGAAACTGCCTCCTTGAAGAAATAGGGGGCCAACAGTTTACCTTCTTTTAATAAGGCAGTTGCTATTTTTCTGAATAAGATTAGATGAACTTACTTTCTTGCTTTTGGAGAGAATGGCATGGGTGCCTGCCAACACATTCTTTACATTCACACACAATGACATGAATAGCATGAAGAGTGAATTTGTATTTGATGACCACTGGAAAATAATTGGCAACGGTGAAAGAGAGACCTTTGAAGACTGAATCAGAATGGAGAGAAATTGGAAATGGCAGGAGCGGAGTTTCCTTTTCCCCTGATCTCCTTCATCTTTGACCAGCAGGGTTTGAAAAACGATACGGAAGAGCAACAAAGCTGTCCAGTACTTCCTCCTGACAAACACAACTCATATCTAACCAAGCAAGAGGACAGAGCCTATCTTTTTTAACACAAGGAAGCTCAGCCGCTTTTTTCAGAATTTATCCCTTGATGTTAGAATACCTGATGGAAACAGGTACCTGATCAGGTGAAAGCGAATTCCAACATCATTGATGAGTAAATTCATATCAGGTTTCCTTTTAGAAAAGAAAACATACTTACTAAGACTGTGAATGAAGTGTATTTAGACCGTATCAAGTTTGGACTCAGGAAATTACAGATAACAGACCTGAGGTTGTACTTTTATTTGGGAATAGGAAAGCATTTAATACCCAATTTTAGGGCAGAGGGTGTTCACACTTTCTTAGTGCGTGAGCAAGGATTGCTCACATACTTGCATTTATGCTCAAAGTTGGGACATCTATCTTATGTTGTTATGGTGTAGTCTTCTAGAAAATGTCAACCAATTGATAAAGGTGTCCACCATACTGCAATACCCTGGGATTTGCAAGGGGAATAACAAGGAAATTACTTTTTATAGATGGGATGAGCAACTATTTTTTTATACTTCAATTGGTAGAAGTTCAGAAATGAATGGAGTCAGTTCAGTCTTCGGTGCTAACAAAAAGTGTTGCTTAACACACATCTTTGGATTTGATTTTGTATATTATAAAAAATATCCTATTCATCTAAATGATACCTGTAACAACAAATGCTGGAAAAGGTAAATAAAATTTACGTAACACATTTCAGTAGTAGTTTAACCCTTTTCCTCAGTCTCAATAGAATCATCAACAACCATCATACCAATAACCAAACTGGAAGTGTGTATCCACCCACACAGTTTTAAAAGAGGATATGTTTTAATCTGAAAAGATAATGAAAAAGAAGGAATAAAAGACTAATTGTTAAAGCACTAAACATGTAAAGAACTGGCAGTTTCAGGGATCTGACTGTTTTTTTTGAAATGCATGGTTATTGCTCAGCAGGCCCTCAACTCCTTCTCACTGCTGGTTGCCTTTCCACTTCTCTCTGTGCAAAGACTCACTAAATTGGCAAAAACAAAGAAGTGTTTTATAAAGTCCGTATTTGAAACCTTCACTAGTTCCCTTCAACTCTGTCTGGGGCTATGAAGTAACACACAAGAAAGCAGTAACTCAGTCTTCAGCAGCTGGATATTTCCACTTAGTTTTATAGATACTATAAAAAAATGAAAATAAAGAAGTAGCCAACATTATCACCAAAAAAAAAAAAAAAGAAAACTGCCAATAGCAGAAAATTGGGATAAAAAATGTTTAAGCTTTATTTCTAAGCACATGCAGAGTACTTCGCTAAGTCTCCTACTCCCTTCTTTTGCACAATACTGTCCATAACAAATTCACCACAGATGTGACACCCAGCTAGACTGTAACTATGCACTCTTGAATACTTCTCTCAGGCCATTCAGGAACAGCAAATAATACAAAGAATCAGAGGAGCGATGGAGAGGCAATAGTAATATATCACCTATCTGCCTGACAAAGATCCATCTTCACAGAACCATCAGCTACTGTAAAGATTTTACAGATATAAAAGAAGATATTCACAATCAACTCTTTTAAGAGTTCCACCATTTTGATTTTCTTTCGAATTCACATAATTTGTGATACTACTATTAAAAAAAGAAGTCTGAATGAATAAGAAATTTCTGTATCACTGTATTTCAATATTGAAAAAAAAACATTTCAGATTCTGGAGAAAGCTTCATAAATATATAAACGTGTTTTAGATTTTAGACATATGTATTTATATACATATACATACATATTTAAAACATAAAATAATTAACTGATTTTGTATGTAGGATATACACAGAAGATGCAAACATGTTATTAGTGTATATCTATATGTAAAAATTGCCATTGATTTAATAGGTATGTGGAAAACTTAAGCGTCAATATACTTCGAAATAAGAATACATATGGCCTCATGCTTACAAAATACACATTCAAGCAAACAAAATTCACCTTTGGAGAGAAAATAACCTTAAAATTAATATTTCTAATAGACCACACATATAAAGCACTATACCTTCCCTTTTTTTTGTTGTAAATGTGGTTGAACTCCTGTATTGCGAACTTACCAACAGATTGGTGTACTTTCATCTGATCCAATTCTTCTTCGAGATTCAGTCTACAAAGGAGGAAATAAAAAAGTAAGAAGCACAGAACAATCACATAGATGCCACTAAAACCATTAAAAAATTAAACCAAAACCATATCAATATATTACTAGGAAAGAAATTGTCAACATCCAGGAATTAGTTCTATTGACAATACTTCGCATACTTCAAACATTTGCCATTTGTACTACAGCTAATTAAAATTCATAAACCTGAATTTACAAAATTCAGATATAATGTTGTTTGTAACGTATACTGTTTCAGATGGTCACTTTTAGGTAAGAAAATACTCGAAACGAAAAGCAGACCGTTTCGAGGTGGAATCCTGTTGAGAGGGGAATAAGTATTCAGTCTCAGGGGAAACAACCAGCCAACCTTGTGCAGATGTATCTTACCATTCCTGTTTTTACAGTGACTATTTGAGAAACTTGCTAACAAAATTTCTCCTCCCCTTTTCCAGCCTTGATTTACTACTATATTACTACTATAGTTTATTCTGTAATATCAATCAGCTAAGGTCTGTACAACAAAATAACTGAATTACTGTTTTTCATTTTATTAAAATCACATACAAATAAAGTTTCCAGGCTACCAATGCTAAAGTTTCAAAGTCAAATTGGGAAATGCTAGAATGAAAGACATTAAGTTAAATGGTTAACTTAGACTTCTTTTTTCTGATACAATCTTTAATTGCACACTATTTTAGCAGTAAGATCCCCACCTACTTTAGCTTAGGATTCTACAGCACATAGAACATAGGGCAGTCATTTAATATGCAGATTTTGCTTAAAATATAACCTCCTATCCTATACCAATACACATTGTTCTAGCTCTGTTCTGAAGGTTGGATTTCTAATTTCCTCACAGCCTTTTATGATGTACTCTGAACAGCAGCAACTAACTGCTTCGCAGGAAACTGACGCTTTACAAAATCCCTCTGAGATAAGGCACAAAGAAAATCAGGCCAAAAATATCTGCTAACTTAAGGAAAGTGTTTTAAAAAAAATGGCCTTTCAGTATACACAGTATTTTAAGGCACTTTATATGTTTAATGCATCTCTGACACATCTGTAACTCTAAACATTGCAGTTGACATCCCACAGTCTCACATGAAGTACAAAGAAAATGAGAAATGTGAAAAGTTAAAATAACTTGCTTTGCATGACGCATAAGACTCCAGCTATTTTCAGGATCACTCAGTTGTCTTCTCAGGTTCACTTTTATTGCTCTTCTTTCATTCTGCATGCCTCAGTCATCATTGACTTCAATAACACAGACTACAGTGGCCTTTACCTCCACACTGTCTTAACTCCTCATAGCATGTTCACTTTTTGCACTGAATGGCAAAATGCTTTCTTGAAAAAACATTCTCTGTTTATGTAATTAAAGGCTGTATTCAACACTACGTGAATACAAGGGAGAGAATTAAGGATATTTTAGAATCCTTCTTGCTTGAACCTCTATCTTCTGAACATGTTATTTTTCAAATTAAAAAACATTATTTGAATGAACGCACATTTACATGCATACATATATACTCATACTGCCTCCTAAGCGACAAGCATACAATGATAATTGTATAAGATTTTTAAAAGAGTTAACTTTTACATAAACATTTTTTTAGGGTGATGAAAGATATGCAGAAGTAAATAAATTATATGAAATAAAAAGGGTAGGTTTATAGTCTGAATATCTGAAGCACTTCCAAATAAATTCATCTGTGAAACAGTCCCCAACTGAAGTTATGATATATCTAAGCTGGAAATATTTCAGGCAAGCCTAGACAAGAAATTACAATGTGTAATGTAAGACCCAACCTATACAAGTCAATCACTGGCTTGCATGAATGCTAGAATTGCACAACTAGGTTAGACCAGCCCTGGGTCCATCCATCACCAGTGCTCTGTCTCCAGCAGAGGCAAAAGTAGATGCTACTCGGGACAGAGCACAAGCCTAACAGTTTCTGCAGTCTGATTCCAATTTTCCATCCTGAAAGGAGCACATAAGCACTACCTTTTGTTTCCTCTGCTTTAACTGGCTCCCTGTTGCTAAAAGGACCTTTCCTCCAATCCCGCAGGAATGGAAGTTCTTTATAACCTTTCATGTAGAGTCTTGTCAAAGGCAATTGGAAAATACAGGTCAGATTTATCCACATGGTTACTGTCACCCTTCTGCAATTCCAGCAGGTTAATGAAGCAGGATTTCCCTTTGCAGGAGCCACACTGATGCTTCCCCAACAAAGCTGTGTTGATCTGTGCTCAGTGATCTCTCTCCCTCACCGGCTTTTCTGTTTTCTTTTTTTTTTTTTTTTTTTTTTTTTTTTTTTTTTGCCATCTTCCCAAGTGTGGAAGCAGTCAGGCTCACTGGTCTGCAGCTCCCTCTGGAGCCCATTTTGTAGATGGGAGTTACAGTGGCAACCTGCCTGTCAACTGGCACAGTGGCTGTTTACAATGAGGTAACACTTCAGTAATTTCATACTTCAGTTTCTTCACACCCCAAGGAGTGTGAAGATATTAACAAGATATTAACAAATAACTTACCTACTTGAATTCATAATTGCTTTACAGTTACTTCCAACAGATCTCACTCTTTTGATCTATCTGCTACAAAGAATACATGAGTTGTTGGCATCTTCTTAGCATCTTCAGCAGGGAAGACTGATGCAAAGATTCACTGAGCTGTTCTTTTATGGCCTTGTAAAGCCCGTGTATCCTTTTACACTGTTACCATTAAGCAAACCTACAAATTTCCTAACTGGCTTCCTTTTCACTTGATTTAAGCAAAATTCTACTATTACAGCTTAAGCATCTTTGAAAACCACTCTTCAAGAGCTGTTTTAGACTTCTCAACTTTCCACGTGCATTTGTCCTGCCATTGGCTTACCTGTTCTTACCAATGCAAGCTTAAGTTTTGAATGCTGATCTTTTCTCTGCAAGGGCCACAAAAATTTCCCCACTGAGTCTTTACAGAGAGCTTTTAAAGACTTTTTTGGGGTGGGGGTTGGTTTATTTGGTTGGGGTTTTTTTAATTTCATTTTTTTAATTGTAGCACCTATTTCAACTGGGTTTCAGCTACAGTGCCTTTTGTAACAGTCTCCAACTGTTCATACGATTTTTGTAATGCTTATTCTAATGTTTGGGGTGTTGGAGGTTTTTTGACAAGTTGGTTCATTTCTATGTGGTTCCCTTCCTGGGAAGTGAATATCCCCAGGCCAATTGATTTGGTCCACTCTCTTCTGCTAGAATAAAAGAATAAAAGGAGAGCAGGCAACAGTGCATACCTTGAATTTGGCAAGGCTTTTGAGATGGTCTCCTACCTTCTTATTGTCAGATAGTCGAGATCTGAATTGACAAGTACATAAGGTGGCTGGGAAGTTGGCTGGACTGTTAGGCTTAAAGGGTGACGATGGTGTGGAGTCCAACTGGCAGCTAGCTATTAAAACCATCCCTCAGGGATCCATACCAGAGCCAGTACTGTTTAATGTCTTTATTAACAACTTCAAAGATGGGTTAGAGTGCCTCTCAGCAAGTTCACAGATGATATAAAACTGAGGGCAACAGTCCATGCACCCTGCTTTGAGCAGCAGGTTGGACAAAATAGCTTCCAGAGGTTCCTTCCAAGCTGCACAGGTCCGTGCTTCTCATTGTATTGAGGTAACTGTTACAGAAAGGCTTTGTCTCTAATGCTTTCTGAACTAAGTTCTGTACATCACTCCAAATAAAATCCAGAACAGTGCTTTTCCTTTTGGTTTCTAAGACTAATTGTTCTAGAAAAGTTACTTATTCCATAAAAAATTTGTAACTCTACATCTCATCTTGGCAAGATAATGACGCAGGCTCTATGTGGATAGTTGAAACCTTCCATGATTACAGCCTGTCCTTCACAACTTGTCAAATCTCACTTCACATTTCTGCATCACTATCAGCATCCTGAGGAAAAGATCAGCAGTACAATCTCACTGCTACTTATTTATTATTGAAATATAGGACTTTTATACAAAAGCATTACGCAGTACTCCCTTTTTCTGTAAGAGCTGTCCAATATTACATTTAAATAATCGCTTTCATACATCACCACTCTCTCACCAAGTAATCCTATTCTGTCATTCCTGCAAAGGTAGTACCGGGGCAACACTGTACCCCACAGATTACCCTCCTTTCTCCAGGTCATTGAGACGCCTAGTGTGTCAGGAGTGTCATCTGATGCCAAGAAGTCTAGCTTGACATGGGTTTTTTTGCGCTTCTAGCACAGAAGTACTTGTAAATTAGTTTCTCATTATATTCTCATTGACTGGCTTAATATGCCAGTCAACTACTGTTGACAATATGTTAAAACAACCTCCCACTACCAACACACACCTTCTCCTATCCTTAAAAAGAGTCCCTTTACTGTAGGAGAGTTCTTGGTGCAAGAGGACATTGTCACATCAGCTAAACAGCAGGTCTCGTCTCATTCATGGTTTCGTCTAAGAAATTAGATTCCTTCTGGTAAACAGGATGTTCACCTTTCCCAAGATTTATGCTCTTTGCAGCAACACTTATTAACACAGAGTTAGTTGGTTTCCTGGTTTCTTTCATTTTTTCTAATCTCTGAAGCCTGACAATCTTAGGTTCACAAACTTGTTAAGTTTTGAATGCACAGATTGGGCCAGTCAAAGCCAACAGAGTTAGCGTTCAGTGAATTTCTAAGTATTTAACTCATTTGGGAACAGATTCTATACTGATTTCTAGTCAATCTTTTCTTTCTGAAGAACAAATGTAATACAACAAAACCTTCAATCTTTATTTTCTACGGCAAATACAGTACTAAGAGAAAAAATAAAAATATATAATTCAAGACCAGGTTGGATGGGCCTTTGAGTAACCTGGTCTAGCGGAAGGTGCCCCTGCCCATGGTAATGGGGTTGGACCTAGATAAGCATGAAGGTCCCTTCCAACCCAAACCATTCTATGATTCTATGATTATCTGTATGGTCTCGATACTTACTACATTCATTATACAAAATCAGAAA